GGGGGGGGGAGTAATTGCTTAATGGGTAAGGAGGTTCCATTTTGAGTGACCACTACTGGGAATTTGATAGCGGTGATGGCTGCACAACCTTGTGAATGTACTAAATGTCACAGAATTACATACTTTAAGATGAGTATCGTGGCAAGTTTCATGTTATGCACACTGCACCACACACAGAAAAGGCTTCCTCCAGGAATCAGGAGGATGAGTTCTCAAGTCAACACCAATCCCCCAAGGCCCAGCCACCGGTCACCAAGTGTTTCCATTTATTTCATTTTGGCAATGCCCTCAGCTCATCTTCCTATTCCACTGCTCTCATCATTGCTTCCCTGGATCACTGCAACCTCCTAGGACTGGTCTTTCACTGTGTGCAAACAGAACCTCAATAAAGTTGATTTAAAAATTAAAACGAGTGTAAAGAAATAATTCCCCAAACTATTTGGCCACATACATATTCTATCAGTAAAACATTTTGGGCAAGTGTGTGTGTGTATAAAATTTTCTTTATAAATGATATGCTAATACTATTATTAGCTAGTAATCACAATAAATAATTTTAGAACTGGTACTGACTGATCATTCATTGGCTCCACACTAAATCCTAGTGGTGTTAAAATTACAGGAACACCCTTCCCTTTCACTGTCCATATCCAAAACTTCACATATTGAGACATTTGTTTATTTTTCTATTAAAAACATAATTTATAAAGAGTAATCGATGACAATGAAACAAAAGCCAGTTAAATTAACTGGAATTGAGCACATACTTGGCAAGCTGCTTCTCAGCATCAGCACAGAGTTCCAGCAGCCCCATCAGGACAGCAGACACATCCATGTATGGCTCCCACACTGTGAACCCGCGTCCGATCAGGTCGATGGCTGTTCTCCGGATAGTACTGTGCGGAGGAAGTTTGGGGCTTGGTGGCTGGAGCAGAAGAAACGTCAGTGCCTTGCCTAAAATTACAAAATAAAAGGCAGAGCAATAAAGTAATTTTACTTTTGTGATGTTTTCTTTGAAGCGTATTTTAAAATATAAACCACTTTGGGTTTCTTTCTTTTTTAACTGGAAAAGGGTTTTGAACAATAAGATGATAAAAGATCTCGAGTTTACGGTATGCTCAGCCACGTAGTTTAGAGGGATAACTTAAGTTACAATATCTTATACCATGTTCTGAAGTGTTTTAATTCCATAAAAATTACATATAAGTATACATGATTTCAACACATATCAGTGATCCTAAACTTCCAGTGTTTCTCCCTACTAGGCATTCTGCAAAATGGAGATGGCTTCAAATGATGGAATATGGTATTTCTTCACCTTTCTTCTGCATCTAACAGAGTTCATGTGTCAAACACTTCCCACCGGTGACACATCTCATTACAGACCATGTTCACCCACTGGGTGAGGGATGGAGGGATGGAGCGGGTGCGTGAAAAAGTGTCCCCTCCACCTTCTGTGTTCTGATTGAGTACGATGCTGTCAGGTGTGCAAGAAATTCTTCATGCAAGTTGGTTACATTAGAAACAGCTCTATGTGACATTTAAATCTGTTGAAATGATCTAGATTTTAATTAACGTGTCCTGCTTTCTGGTGAAGATAAGGCTGACAGTTTGTATACATGTGCCTAGTGGCGATTAAGCTGCAAAAGCCTATCCACTTCAAAAGGCATTGTGACACTTCAAAAAGAAAAACATGACTGTGTTTGTGGACTGTGAAGAGCAAACTGCAATTTAGAAGAGGTTTTTTGTTTGTTTGTTTTTTGAGGGGAAGAGATGGAACAGTTTATAAATCATAGAATAGTATATTGGATAGGGGAGCATGGGCTTCATATTTAAGACAGAGAATGAACCACAGTTTCATAACTTACTAGGGGGTAGGCTTAGGAAGGCACTCCATGAGCCTCAGTTTCCCTGTCTGTAAAATGGGGGTAATAATAGCTACCTCTCTTGAAGCGCCCAAGTGGGAAATGAATGTCAATAACCGGCAGTCAGGGCTCATGATGAAAAAGTTGAACTGGTCTGATTCAAAATTAAGAATGTGACATATAAACTTTAATGCAGTCAACAAAGAAAAACACTTATGTTATAGCCGACTCACTGTTAAGTGAGAATGGACCTAAATGCAGGTGAAGAGAGGTGAAGGGCACCGCCGAGCCAGGACAGGAGTCTGACTGCAGTCTGCAGATCAGTAGACCTGAACCTCTCGGGCACAGAACCATCCAAGGATCTTCTGAAAGCCATCAGTCCTTCCCCAGGAAACTACCTATGTGTACCGATCTACCAAATTCTGCACAAAAATGTTCAGGAGGTCACGGACCTTGTGTTAACAACGTTTGCAGTAAACTAGAAAGGTACCCATAAGGAAAGCCTCCTTGGGAAACAGCCCCCAATGCACACTTCATTCATGCCTGCATCTGTAAATTTCATTCTCCTGCTCAGCCATGTAAATGTAACACGGAAAGCTTCAAGTTTTGTGGATCGCAAAATTATAAACTCCTTAAAAAGAGTGATCCATCCATTGTTGGCCATTTTCTGCCAGCACGTATGTGGCCTTTACCCCAGGAGATTTTTAAATATAAGTACTTCTGTGCATTTCCCTTTTCCTCAGCTCGTTTACTAGCTCCCTGAGGGTAGAAACTGTGTTTCATATAACTTTGCATCTCCCACACCATCAAGCACAGAGCTCTGCACACATTATGGAACTAAAGTTTAAATTAGATCTGCCTTTACAGCATGTACATTTCTAACACAGCTCCCTGCCCCAGTTTGTCAGAATAATATTTCAAATGTCAGGAAATCTACCACTTTGTTTATTCTTTACTTCCAGAAAGTCGCAGGAGCTGCAGAGAAGCCTCCACCGCTGCTCAGAGCAGGCGTCCAATCTAAGGGCTAGGGCTCCCTGGCGTGTTTCCTGGGTAAGTAATATTGCAGAGGGGAAGTCAAGTTTCCTAAGTACAACGTTTTATAGCATTTCGATCATCATTTTCCTTAACTGCACTCGACCAGGTCTGTATTCCTGTCAGGTGGGAGCACTCTGGCAATACTCAGGACTGGCTGGTTTCTCTGTGGTGTGAACTCTAGAGGCAGCTTCCTCACCACTCTGACAATTTTTTCCAGAGAGCAATAATAAACAATAAGTGGTCAATTTCTGGATATTTTCCATCATTTTCCTGACAAAGAGGAAAGGACAGCCTAGGGGATGCGATCATTGCCCTCCAATGAGATGGCAGGAAGGGGAAAAATAGTCAGGGTTCTCCAAAAGAGCCCTGGCCCTGCCATGGCCATGGCCAAGTGTGACGCTCCCTCACAGAGAGGGTGCGCAGGTCAGCAGGAAAGACAGGCCCCAGCAGCACCGCCACCTCTCCCTCCAAGTCACTTCCAGCAAAACTCTCCTCCCACATCTCTCCTTTATTCTCCTCCAAGTCTCTAGGTAACAGACAGTAAAGGTCTCACACCCACAGTCTGGCAGGCCAGGTGTGAGACATCGAGAGAAGTGGAGTGAAAAATGCCTACTTAAACACACATTTTCAATCTACTAGGAAAATATGATGCTTTTCTACAATGATCTGTTTTGGAATTATAACGACATACAAATGTTACAATTCCACATCTGTCTCTCACAACTTCTTCCAAAGAAAACATGTAAAAAATAGAAGATGAAGAGGATTTTTCAAGTTTACCTTTTGGTTTCTAGCCTTGTTAATAGGAACCTTACGACTTTAATGCTATGGGCATTTATGACACTGATGTTCTGAAGGAATAACCTAGGAAGCCTAAGACTTCGAACTTCCTGATCACATGTTCTTCCTGCTGATACTAAGGAATCAACCTTTAAGAGATGCTGGTATGATAATAAAAAGGGATAGATATATTTATGCTTTTCTCAACTTATATTCTCTAATTTAGGGTCAGTTTAACTTATAATTCCATATGATGCAGGTGTTCTGCAAAATGGACCAGGCGATGAAAAAGCCAAAATGAAGGTAATGACAGTCGCTTCCCTACAGAGAGAAAAAGTCTCATGACTGGAGAGTTTTATTAATTTGAACTTTATCTGTCAGAATTTTCTTAAGTCTTTGGTTACCCAATAAAGACTGAACCTGTATAGGATGGAATCTAACATTGTACAGAAGTAAAAATTGACTTATTTTACGTAAATGCCCCATTATTCCACAGTGCCTCACGGAGTAAGCAAGGTGGGCAACGATGCTATCATCCCCCATCATAACTAATTCCTTCATAAAAGCTCTCCAGTGGCAGTATTAAAAAATTCAAGAAAGTGGCCTGACATTCATTCAAGGCTTCCCACAATCTGGTCCCAATCTATTCATCCAAAGATTCATATAATGACTCTTCACAGAGTATTGCTATGTTGTACTAAGTGCTGGGGAAACAAAAGGGGGTAAGTTCTTTGCCTCAAGGAAATTCATCCTAGTTCAGACACAGGTGAGCAACCAGGTAATTTGAATATACTATGTATGAACAGTGTTATATTTATAAGCACAAGTTATCAAGACAGAATTTAATAGAGGCCCTTAACCCCATCTTAGGGGTATGAGAAGGCTTCCAGGGAAAGGTGACTCTATACCAAAACCTAAAGAAGCTGGCCTCTCAAAGAGAGGAGCATGGAAAGAAAACACTCCAGGCAGAGAGACTTGCATGTCTAAAGACCAGGAAATGAGCAAGAATATAGCAGAACTAAGGGATTCCACAAGGGTCACCATGGCTGAACATACTGGTGGGGGAAAAGGGTTTGAGACAGTGGGCAATGGGGAGAGAGGGTAAAGATGATGAGACGTGAGGCAGGACAGGCTCTTAGAGCCTGATCACAAAGGGGTAAGATCAGATTTTCATTTTAGAAATCAATACTCAGGTTGTCTTGTGATTAGAAACAGACAAGCCCTACTGTCTTTTTAATTGTGATCCACTTATCCCTAGCCAAATGGATTAAATAGAATTATAGAATTTTCTAATTAAAAGGACTTTAGAAAAATCTGATCTATTCCTATGTTTTGGATAAGATAACTGAGAACCATAGTAGGCAAGTGGCTAGCTGTAGGCCTGGGTAAGAGTCATAACCAGTACACTTTACAGTGATGTTTTATTCATGACACTCGACCCAACTACGGATTCAAAAGTATATCCTTTATAATCAAGCTCTTCCTTCATCTGAATTATGAAATAATTGAAGCTGCAGTTACCAGTGTCTGCAAAACAGATTAAATAAATTATATGTTTTATCTTTTCTCACACAACGAGAAGGTTGCTATAACTGGTTCAACACCTAAATATAACCATACCAAGTTCCTCTAATTGCCTTGGCTGTAACTTAGTTGCATCATGGTCACAAAATTGTTCACTGCACATCCAGCACTGCGTCCACCTTCCAGGCAGGAAGAGGTCATGTGCCAAGTAAGTCAAGCCCCTTTTTAAATCTGATTATATTTCATCGGCCAGTATCACATCATGTAATAATTCCCCTCGTTTCAAGGAAGGGTGGGAAATGCAGTTTGTTAGCTGGGTGCACAGCCATCTTCAAAACAACTGAGGTTTTGTTCACAGGGAAGGGGAGAATGGTATTACACAGGTAGGTAGAAATTTCTGTCACATCTTTCCTGCTTATGTTAGAATGAAATTATTATTATTAATGTAGCAATTACCTCCCATACATTTAGCAAACAACAGTAAAGCATATCTTGGAATTTGTTCTATTGTCTAAAGCTAATTTTATTCCTTTATTTTCATTTTATTTTATTACCTTTTCCCATCTGCTAATAAAGTTCCCTAGGACATATGAAAATTTTAAAAAATACTTTTATGTTTGTCATAGGCTTAGCACAATGCCTTATAGTCTGTAAGTACTTAATATATATTGTTGCTTTGGCAAATACTAAAAATTATGTTATGCTATATACACTTGGCACAGTCAAAAAATTATAAACAGATCAGAAACA